TTGCTCATTCACTGGGTCCATGAGCCAGCTGTGGAACCAACCAAATATTTATTGAATGCTACTCTGTACATGCTCTCCCAGAATGTGCTAACTGCTTCCTTTCGAAACCTCATTAGAAGTTATCACATTATAATGAACAGTTTGATTATAATGATGATACTCTTCTAATAATACCACATCCATTTACCACCATTCCCCACCCAGCTCTGCTATTCCCTGTTGACATTTGACTTTCAAAACACAGACTACTAAAACTACATATATTATCAAAGCTCCACCAAAAATGTTCAAGAAAAGAGAGATAAAGCTTAGTGAATGTATTTATTTCAGTTGTCACATTTCTTTTCCTCCAGTAAATCCAGATCACATGCTAATTAGTGCTTTCTATGCAAATTAACTTGCTTACCTGAAATACCACTGCCTCTTCAGCTTTTCATGGTTGAGTGGTAGCCAGGGTAAAAAATTCTATATTAAGTGAATGGTTGCACAGTTGCTGGGAGGCCTAGGAAGAAGTGCGAAGTCAGACAATTTATTTGTGGTCAGTTGGTTGTAAGAATGAAGTATGTGTACCTGCCTTTATTCTATAAATGTATTGCTGCAGTAGAATGTTACAGCAGTAAGAAAACTAAAGTGCTAGTTAAGAAATTTGGTCTGTTATACATGAATAAGCTATTAAACTCTACCGAGCAAAACTTTCTACTCTACAAATATGTCAAAGGGCATATTCAAATAAAATTATAAAATTCCAATTTTATTATAATTATACAATAAAGAACTTGTAAAACTTCAAGGGATTTTATGAAGAAGTCATTTTTGAAGTGAGTGTTCATTTGCTAAGTTGTTTTGAAGTTCTCATTTTTTTAAACTTGGTAATTGTGTATTTCTTTTAGTCATTTAGAAAGATATTATTCATTATTCTTTTCAAAATTAGAAGCAAATTGCACATGAATAATTTTGTCCTCAAAAAAGTTCAAAATTACTTTGAATTACATAAATTGTGCATAATTATATACTTTAGAATATACCTCAGACTTCTAAATTTTCAGAAGCATAAACTAAATGCTACATTTGTTCCCTCTAAAGAAGTTAGTGTTATTCTTCTCTTCATCACTGATACGTTCTAAATTATGCTCATAAAATAAAACATAGTATATAGAAAGTGGTTAAATGATTGGTATTTTTTAAAAACTTTTATTTATTAATGATTAAAATTTTTCTGTATCAACTTGTTCTTAAACGCTAAGAGTTAAAGGGTTTCTAAAGTCATGTCGAATATTTAAAATATGATTTAAGGTGATTTATACATTGCTACATCAATTTTAAGGATCTAGGAAATACCAATTTTATGGATAAATTACATTTTGCCGCCTCACATTAAGGTGATGACTGCCTGATACGGTTTTGTGTTCTTTCCTCTGAAGTTGGTTTTCTACATATCAAGGCACATGTCTCCCCGCAGTGTACTTTATGACATGGTGTGAACAATGTGCAAAGGAAGTAGAGGGAAAGGAGCCTAGGAAGATTCTTTAAAGAGGCAGTGACATTTAAACTGGCCCTTGGAGGATTAATAGAAATTTACTTGGCAGAGAAAGGAGAGTACAGAGTATTCTCAAGAAATAGAGAATATTCTGCTGTGGATAAATCATATTTATAGGTTTTTTAAAAGCTATTAGTGTTAGAAAATGTTAACAACATTTGAGCAATCTAAGATATCTACTTTGATCTTGTAAGGAGTGAGGGCCTAAAATGATCCTTATCACCTGTAATTTGGGTACTGGTAAATTATTTATGAAACCATTCCCTTGGAGGGAGGTCTGGGATCTTCAGAGAAGGAAAGAATTGGACTGAGAAATCTACCTCCAACTAGTGCGGGGAAAGAGGAAGGACTGGCTGCTTCTGATCTTAGGGATTGAGATAAAACACTAAGTTGCCTGTGGAAGACCATGTAAGAGGGAGACTACTACATCCCACTAGCAGAAAGGGCAATGAAGAAGGGAAAATCTCTCTTTAGAAAATAGAATGTAAGAAAAGCAGAAGTGTAAAAGTCCATGAATAATTCTTGATATAATGGAAACTAATAATCTTTTAAAATTGAATGACATTTATGCTGAAGTAAATTATGATTATAAATGTTGTGTTGTTCTTTAAAAGACTATTTTGAGGAAATGAGATAGACACTTGATTTGTATTTCTGTTAGTCTTCTTCCCTTTCATTTTGTCATCAAATATTTATTGATTTTTCTGACTTTGTATATATTTTTATTCACGTTGAGTTATCCCATTCATTCTGGGCAGACAACTTAAAAACATAGAAACAAGAATTTATGCCTGTAAATGTAGTTTCCGTATGTCACAGTGCTAACTGTACTACTCTGTTTATCATATAAAGAATCTTACTCCATGAATTTTGTCAATTTGGAAAACTTTTTAATAGCTCTATAAACTAGGGATGATGTAATATGAGTTTTGAGGGAAGGCACCAGATTGAAATATTTTCTTCGAGTTTTCATCGATACTTGCCATGTGGTGAAGAGAACATTCTATTTGTTCCAGATTAGTGGACTGATGGTAGAAAACAATTTCCCCAGAAAATTCTTTCTCCTATTAATTACAAAACTGCGAACCTTGAAAAGTCCTAAGCAGAGGACGGTGATCTTTATCTACTTTATTCACTGATATGTCCAACCACTAGGACAGCGCCTTCATAGGTATTTAATAAATATTTGCTGAATGAACTAATCTCTAGCACACCTTTTAATCAATAAGTACAGCTTTTAAAATTCTCCCTATTGACATTTGCTCTGAACAAAGAGCATACTTGTTTGTTGGAGTATTTTTTTCTTCAAGTGGGTTTTCCATTTTCTCTGGAAATGGAAATAAGTTTTTCCAGCTCCTCAATAAAGGTGGTTTGTGCCTTAGGAGCATATGCTTTTAACTCCACCCCCCACCCCTCCCCATTCCCACACACTTCAAATACTTATAGATATTTACAATATACCAATATTTATATTTAAAGGTTGTGCTGGGAATAATCAACACAGAATCATGGGTTTTATTTTGTTAATTTTTCTAAGGGACTTTAGAGATCATCTAGTCCGATTCACTCATTTTAAGGTTGAAAAAACTAAAGCGCGGAAAGGTTATGGGCTCAGGCCCCTCTGTTAATTAGTAGGAATGCAAAAGCTAGAATCCAGAGCTTTGACTTCTACTCAAATGTGTTTTGCACACACAGGAATAACTTTTTCAAGGGGAAGGCTTTTCCAGTTAAAATATTGATTCACCTCATGACACCTTTATGCAAGTATTTGATGCCCAAACTATTAAAACAAATTTTTTTGCACCAAATATAAAGAGTAAGCACATTTCATAGCCAAGGATTTTTTTTGAAGAACCTACTCTTCTGAGGTTATTAAAGTAGGGAGTATTCACGTCTGTCCGTAGATGGACTATATTGTTATAGGTAATCTCTTAGATTCATATTTTACCATAAATAATTTAAATTTGTTTTACTACCTTAAATTATATTTGAAAGTAAATTAACTTCTGAATAGTGAAGTACAAATATTTGTATAAATATTCTCAGTTGCTAGTATACAAACTCTTTTGAGTTCTGCTGCTGTGTCATTACCTCAAGAAGTAAGCAGTTGAGGACATAAATGGTTAACAGATAACTTAATGTAAGGATCAGTTTGAATATTAAGAGCTTATGTCATAATAGCACTAATTTAATATTAAAAATGCTTTATAGCCTAAATATGTTAGGATTTTATTTTTCAGATGCTACTTTTAAAATAGCACTGGGAAATATATGTAGCCATGAACTACAGACCTAATTTCTAAAAGTGTTTTTAGAAAATACATTATAAATGTGGGATTTAGTTATATAAAGTACTATAAATCTGGCTTACCCAAGCCTTTGTTAAATTGACTTATATTAGTTCATTCTTAATGAACTTATATTAGTTCATTCTTAATATTTTACTTTATAATATTCAACACTTTATAGTTGATAATTTGCTTATATTCCATGAAAGGAATAATCTTATATTCAAGTAAGTTATGTATTGTGATATAAGTAGACAAAATTATATTATAAAAAATAAATAAACATTGAATTTTTAACAATTTTAGGAATAACTTCAAAAATTTTGGTGCCCTAATCTGACTGATCAAAAATATTCTCCTTCCACTCAACATTGACTAATCTCTAAAATGATACTTTTAGGATGTTTTTCAGATGGTTCTTGGACTAATAGAGTCAACATATCTTAAGCAGTTTCTGATTCATCTAACAACATAAGTTGAATAGGATTTTAATATGAGACCAATTTTTGTTAAAGGTACACACTTCATAATGTGCTAGGCTCAAAATATATAAAAAATTTCAACTTTAAACATTTATAATCAATTTTGAATCACAACAAACCCTTGATGAAGTAAAGCCAAAGCTCTTTTTACCACAGTGACTCTTAGAAAAGAAATATTTTTATCATTTTAAACAGAACTACAAAATAAAGGGTGAAGAAAGTTGGCAACTTTAAAATTATTAAAGGAAATTGATAACAAAACTGGATAGTTCAGTCAAAAGCATATACTTAGAACCCAATTTGTATAATGATGTAGCCAGTAAGCCTCTTCCTGAAGTCCTTGAGCTTCAATTGCCTGAATTTCTTAATTCTTTTTGCCAATTAGATATCATTACCTTAATAATAATTCACATTTAAAAATTGTTTTACTATACTTCAGTCATTTTGGTGTTTTTTACAGTTTTCTCAGAAAATTTCCCAGATAGGCTACAGAAAAATAAAATATAATGGTAATTTTTCTTCAAAGCATTTATTCTACTGAAAGCAATCACATATGGAAGTAAATTGATTTATGTTTTGTATAATTCTAAAAAATTTTAAAGCAGTTTATTTTCAGATCCGTATTTTACAGTGTGCTGTTTTTTATGTGTTTGTTTGGTTGGTTTTGTTTATTTGTTTGTTTTATTTCAATAGCCTTTTATGTCACCTCGGTACCCTGGAGGTCCAAGGCCCCCATTGAGGATACCTAACCAGGTAAGATTTATGTGCTACTTAAGTTTTTGTTCATTCGTTTGTTTGTTTTTTTTTAAGAATCAATAAATATCTGGAAAATGTCACAAATATTTTTTACCTATGAAAATATTAAATTACCCTTTATCCCATTTAATGCTACTACTAGTAATATATAATCTACTTCAAGGGTTGGCCACTATGACCCATAGGTTGGATGACTGTTTTGCACATGAAGTTTCATTGGAACACAGCCACACTTAATTCATTTATGTATTGTCTATGGCTTCAAAGGAAAATCAAGTGATCATGAGAGAGACCTGCAAAGTTTGCTGACTCTTAAGAGTCGACCATGTACTTTGAACCTAATTTTTAAATATGTATAATTTTCATAAATGCTGGTTATGTTCTCATTTAAAGGATGGCAATACACTTTTCTATGCACATACTTTGATTTATTTTTCAAATATGTTTTCAGTATCATGGCTATAACATTTACATCAATTTTTCCCAATTGACAAACCAGACATATAATTAGCTGCTTCTAGAAGGGTTAGCTTTATTCATAAATAATTAACAATGGATCTCCCAACATTTTACCAAAAAGAAGCTCTGAGATTTTATAAACTTTTGTCCTTGGATAGTTTTTTTTTTTTTTAATCAGCATCATAAATATTTATTCGCTGAAGCAAATAAAGTGTAATTTTTACTTGCAAGAAGTTTATAGTTTAATTTTAGGATACAGATAACACAAGAAGAAATGAAATGTTTAACCACATGGAATAGTTATGTCAAGATAATTGTTTTGTCACTTTCTCTAATTCTGTTATTTGTATACCTCAGCATTTTCCCAGATTTAAAGTATACCCGTTATCAGAATAAATTCTCTTTTTCATTCTTACGCTTTATTTTCACTTTCCTTCCTGACCAACAAAATAAGAAAGTTGTGCTTCCTGATACATTTTATAGCAACAGAGCCTGCTTCTCTCTCAGCTCTCACTGAGATTATGCAGTGTCCTTGAAGTGCCCTAGTTTGCTGGTTCTCCGCTTCTGGTGCACAGTACGGAGTGCCAGCACCCCCTTCCACCCCTAGGGACAGCCTTAAAGCAGAGCTGGAAGTCCTCACATTAGCAGCTGGAGGAGTTTTCTCCTCCAGACTGAATTTGCATTCAGAACATAGGGCTGTGGGAACATGCATGAAATAAGGAAGGGACGTGCACAGATGCCAAGTGTTCGAACATACGGGAGTTTTGTTTTCTCTGTGGGTGAACCTGTATATATTGACATGTCTGCTTAAATAGGCGCCTGAGTCTTTTAAGTTTCTTTTCAAAAGACAAGAAGTTGCACCTTTTATTGAAGTCTTCATGGTGTTTTAGACTTCCCATCCATGAGTTTGTATGTTACATACATCTAAGAGGTTCCTGAAATTCTGAAAGAAATGTGAATGTCTTGTAGTAGTGTATTGTTAGAATTTTTAACTTCATATATTCCATATCAGTAATGAAAATCTGACGGAATCATTGGCGTTGCATCCATTTGACCTTGTTGAAATGCGGCTATTTATAAGATACTGTGCTAGGCTCTGTATCTATAGAGACTGACAACATGAAACACTTTAGGAAGAGGAGTGGATTGTTTGTGGGCATGTGGAATTGTAAATCTAGAGTTTTTTAAAGAACAAGTTTATAATACATCTGGATTTATAAAAGAGGCAATTAAAGAGTTAAAGGTAATAAAGAGTTATGATACAGGCACTTTTTCCTCAAGAATTTCAAAATCTTTACCTAAGGATATTTTAAAACAACTGTACTCTTCTGTGAGTGGCTCCTTTTTCATCCCCCCAACAACAAATATTTAGTTAACTTCATTAATTCAAACATCTAACTTTCAAATTTATAATAATTTACATTTATACTATTTTCAAAAATAATTTTCTAAGTATATTAGTTCTGTTAATAGTGTAAACATACAGTTTTAGGAAATGTTTAACCTATTTAGGAGCATGACCCTTTCAAGCAACAAAACGGTTCTTCAGTTTCATTATGTAGTCATTAAAGTAGATATTGGCAAAACTGTTTTTGGTGATTAATTCAAATAATGTATACAAAAACACAAATATATTAAATAGTTTTTATTTGGTCTTCATTTATAGTGATCATAAACTAATGAAATTTTGTTTTATTGATAGATTATGCCTTAAAAAAAAAAAGTGAAATATTAACCTCTTTAATGGTGTTGACTATTCATTTGGAATATGTTAATAGACATTCCTTTAATAAACAGATCCTTCAGAATTTTTAATGATTAGACTATAGATTTTAATAGAAGGTCTCCTGAGATGGTTTTCATGGTTCTGGACTAAATTCACAATAGTTTATATTTATATTGTTTGTATATTCATAGGACTGAGTATTTAGAATATGGTATAGTATCACTATGCAAAAAAGTATATGAAGGAGTCTCTAAAATGATGAAACGAAAGTCAACTTACAAAAATATGCAATTTGGTAAAGAATAAATATACATGAGAAAAAACATATGAAGCACAGATGTTAAGTTCAAAAACCATTTTTTACTATACAATTTTACGCTGGAATTAGTTCAGCTTTCAGAATGGGCCATTGGTGTTGAAGTGTCCACAACCTGGAGTAGAGCAGGTCTTTATCCTCCTCATAGATAAAATGTCTAATCAGAAAAATTCACAATATTCATTCAACACCATGCTGAGAAAACCAAGGCAACCAGAAATATAGACTGTTAATGAGTGACACCAAGAATAAACTATTGACTTATTGATCCTATAGAATTTTGAGAATTTATACTCTATTTCTGACCATTCCTAAAACTCTGTCAACAGGTATGTGAATAGAAATAACACATAATTAATGCTATTGACAATTTTATATTTTAAAGCTGAGTTGGGTATTCAAAATTACATAAAGTCTAACTATTTTGCTGAAACTCTCAAAAATATTTGTCCAATAATAGATAAGTGGTTAAATAAATTATGGTATATCTAAATGGTGAATAGTATGCACCTATTAAAGGGCATGCTATGGAATTAAATTTATAGATATGATCAAATGTTTATGATCTACTAATAAATGTGAAAAAGAAAGCACAAGATGTATATAGTACAACAGCTTTGCTGTACATACTCAGCGAATTTCCTCCACTCATGTGCCTCCATCTATAAACATACATTTGTCACAAAGAGTATAAGAACCATATCCTTTATTTCTGAGTGGTAAAATTATGAATGATTTTTTTATTTTTAAAGTTTGTATTGAGCAGGTAATAATTTGTGATTATAAAAAAAATATTAGTCTGGTTATTCAATATTTATCCTTTATTAATTTATCCTTTATTAATATTGAATGTATAGTTTTTACAATATAAGGAAAATATAATGGATGCTGAGTATAGATAAATCTTAAAAAGGATTTACTTCATCACTTTTCAGAAAAAATCAGCAGGCATTTGAGCAGGAAAAAAAATCAGTGGGACATTTACTTTTATACTGAAAATAAATTTACTATAGTCCCATATAACCAAGGTATTTTAAACAAGTTACATACTTACATGCTCTTTTTCACAAGTTCTCTTATCCAGGATAAATGCTATTTAGCATTTCCTTTATCGGTAATTTTCTTTGTATAATTTTTCATGTGTAGAATTTGACTTTTATTTAATGAGGATATGAAAAGGTAAGAGACAGACTTCAGCTGCAAAGAGAAATAGGCTCTACATTGAGTAAATAGCAGGAGTCTTATAGCTAAAACTGTAAGGAGGACAACTACAGCAAATCTCTAACTTTAAAAATTAAATATGTTCCATGTGTTTAACATAAATTAGTGGTTAATGATGAAAGCATAAAGTAAGTTTCTTTGCCAGTTCAAAAAGATCCCTTTCTATCAACTGGGATCTCCTTATTTATTTGTTTCTTAGTGATAATTATACTATTAGTGTATTTAAATTACTATGTGAAATCTAAAAAAGCAAAATGTGTTATTTCTTTATGAATTTGAATTATGATATATTCTTGGATATATGTATTTCCAACTAGTTTCTACTATTATAGGACAAAGGAAATTAACAAATTCAGTGTCTGACAAAAAGAAATTCATTCTCCTTCCCAAACCAAGAAAAATTTACATAGTGAATGCTGTGCAGTCTTACTCAATTTAAGTTACAGTTATATAGAGCTTTTTTTTTTTTTTACTACTTTACTATTTTTCTCAAAACATATCTAATTCTTTTACAGCTGTTTTGTTACATCCTTTTAGGATATAAGCCAACGAGGAAAAAATTGCATTGCCATATTTTTGATTGGACATTTCATAGAGTTGTACAAAATTTCCTTTAGAAATATTCAGTCATTCAACAAATATCTGTTGAGGTTTACTATGTGCCAGGCACAATTTCAGATACGGGGCCACATCAGTAAACAAACTAATGAAAAGCTCTCTTCTGTGGACCTGGCATTCTAATGCAGCCCTGCCTGGGATGATGGAAATGTTCTGAGTCTGCACTGTCAGATGCAGTAGCTTCAGTGCTCTGAGCACCTGTGAGCACTGGATATGTGGCCAGAGTGACTGAGGAACAAAAAATTTAACTTAGTCATTTTAATTATTTTCAATAGCCACATGTGGCAAAGGGCTAACCTGAGATACAGAAAAAAGAAAAATAATATATCAAATGATGACTTGTGCTTTAGAGACAAATATCTATCTTGCTACACTGACGATAATATTTCTGTACTTCAATATCTTTTCGATTCATAGTGCCTTTTTATAAAAAAATTTAAACAGACAATGATGTTGTTGAAAGGACCTTAATTGTGTTAAGCATTTTAGGTGCAAATGCTAGCAATGCCTAGCAAGTCATTTTGGAGCAAGTCACTTAACCTGGGTCTTGGTATTTTTTACCAGTCAAATGAGAGTGGATCCAGGCATTTCTAAAATCTCTTCTAGTTCTAAATTTTCTTGGTTATATTATTCTATTTCTTTTCAAATAATTGAGGA